GTCGGATGCACCCCCCGAAGGTTTCGTCGCCTTGAGGGTTACACGCTCCCCCCCTCCTTGCGCCAGGCTTAGCCGATGGAGCACAGCGTGGCTTGGGAGAACTCGGTGAAGCAGGGTGAGAAAGGTTGCTCCGGGCTCCGGTCGGGTGGCTAGTTTTCAACTACCTGTATCTTCCTTCACAGAAAGACCCAAATTACCAGATAATTATACTCAGGACACCTGGCAAAAGCTCCATGAAGCGGTGGGGGCGATACAGAGTAGTATTTCTATTAAATACAACCTTGAAGAGCTCTACCAGGTAAGGCATGCAGGGTTTGGGTGGTTGGGGTTTTGGTTTTTTTTTTTTTTCAGTGTAACAGAAGTAAAATTAACTGCTTGGGGACTTTTCACAGAGCTACACATTTAACATAACGCGTTTTGATTTGTTAAAAGCTGCTTATGTTTTCTGAACTGTTCACTCCATGCTCTGTTTCTAGTCAGTTAGCAGGTTTGTATGTCAGTTCCTTGGAGAACTACCAGGATCTGGGCCCATGAAAAAGCAGTTTATGTTGGGAGACATGGAAAACTGCACCTGGGCAGGGATGAGGTTTAAGTCTCTGTCTCTTCAGTACAGCACCTACTCAAGATGCTGAAAATGGGATGTTGCTCTTGCTGGGTTATGCAGATACATATTTTATGATGATTTCTCCTTTGTATGTGCTTTGGTCTCTTGCGAATAGTAACGTTGAAATGCCTGTTATTATTAGATAACAACAATTGGACTTCAGCATCGGTACCCCTTGGGGAATTAAAAAACAATCTCGGTTGAGCAGGCAACAGACTGCAAACAGACAGTTTACCTGTGGTTCAGGTCACAGTTACATTTTCATAACAATCAGGATCTTAATTTTTTTATTGAAATGATGAAAAAGTATTGCTGGCACGTCTGGACTACTGGAGCAGGAGCTAGGGAAGGTAAAAGTGAAAAATACTCATGAGCCATTTCTTTCTTTCTTTCTACTTGCTCCCTTTATATACGGTTTAGTTCTAAATATATGTGCTTTGAGGTGTTTAACTGAAGTAGTAATTTTTTACAGTGATCATGTTCTAAAAAATTACTGATGCGCTAAGTTGTGCTACATAGCTGAAGTTAGTTACGAGTTTTCTATGGGTGCAGGTGTTTGATGTGCAGATGTGGATCTCGTTGCCAGATCAGGACTTAAGGTGTTGTTATGCGTGCTTAAATGATTCTAAATGTTCAGCTGAGGTAGGTTTGATGTTGTCTGCAAAGTGTAAACTGTGAGGGAGGAGTGGGGGCCAGCAGTCCACATTGGGTGCATGCTCAAGAAAATCAGGATGAATTTGGGAGCTGACTATCCTTGTGGCTGTGATTAGTTAGGGTCTATAATGTATGGGTCTAAAATGGCTGATTGTGTAAGTGCATATTGACTTCATATAATTTATTCTCTTTAAATGGGTAAGTTGACTGTGATACAATACTTGCAGGTTTGCAGAGTTTGAATTGCATAATGCATTTAATGGTTTTAAACTCAACATTTGAAAAATCCTGCTTTTTCATGCCTAGCTAAAAAAAACCCAACAACCCGCAGATGCTTTGAGCGTTACCTAACTTGTTTTCAGAGGCTCAGAAATGAGATTATAGTAATATGGCTATGAAATTGCCAGGGTACAGACTTGAGTTCTGGCAGAAGAGGAAGAGAGAGATTTCAGATAAACTATGAAGGGAGAACTGTACTTCTTGCTTTTTCTGCTTATTTGTAGAAACCGCTCAAGGCCAGTCTAATAATCTGTAAGGCAGTGGTGCAAGTCAGCAAGATTTCTTCACGGTGGGTGGTGGCGGTCAGCGTGCCTATGCATAGATAGGTGCTTACTCTCCTGCCAAAGGAATAAAAGATGAAGTTCAGCATCCGTTGGAAACCTGATCTGTACTTACAGAGCATTTTAACAGCCTGTTGGTGAGCACAGTCTTGCACAGGGGAAAATTTCTCCATGTGCATCAGTTCTCACTATCGGGGCTTTTTTTTTTTTTTTTATTTTGAGTCTTTGTCTGACTGTTATGGGAGGAAGTGAGAGGCCTACGAGAGTTCAGTGCGGTGAGCAGGCTGGTGTACCAGCCTGCCTTTGAACTTTCTGATTTATTTATTTAATTTGGCATGGTGGCTGAGGAACAGCCGAAGAACAATGACAAGGCTTTGTGGGAAGGATACTCCTTTCCAGGCATTAGAGGCAGCATGGGATCAGGCACGAAGGTGCTTGGCAGAGACCTAGTCAGTGAGCAGTGGGAGGGTGCCAGCCAATTTTTTGCGACTAAAATAGAAATGATGTCTGGGATTGGTGGTAGATTGCACAGATTTTGATAGAAGTAGCTTATACTTGATGGGCTAGAGAAAGTGGGGCAGTGCAAAGAGTTGCCAAGTGAGGAGTGAGTGATAAAAATAATGGAGCAAGAAAATTCCCTTTGCAGCAAGGTCCTAAATAACCTGAAATGGGGCAGCATTGCCCTTCTGGAGGACATAGAGTAGGACGGTGTAGTAGTGAAAGAAAAAAGATGATGAGAGTCCTGACCAGACTCTGATTTGGATGGATGGATAGGAAAGGCTATGTCTAAGGAAACATAACAAACTATCTGCAAAATGATTGTGTGAATACTGCTTGTTGCAGGTGTCATTTTACTTACCTGTTTTAAGACCAGGTGAAAAACACAACACAGGCACAGAGTGATAGTTTTATTTGTTTGCTTGCTTTCTTTAATATTGGTTCAAAATTGAGGAAGCCGTAGTTGACGTGCGTTTAAATAAAATGACATCAGGTAGGTTAGAATTACCCCTGGGGAGATCTCTGGGAAGCAAATTCACTTTGTGTTTTGGAAAATGAACTTCCGGATGTTAGAACCTGTAGAGGAAATAATACAAGAAGTAGCAATCATTTGCATGCTAAATGCTAAAACAGAAGTCTCTGCTCAAAACAAGCTATTAAAAGGTTGATTTGAAACAGAGCTTCTACTAGATTTGTGTAGGTGAAGAGCCTAAAAGTGTTGTCTTTTTCTTGTATCCTTGTGGATATGGTAATTACAGTAGCTTTTTTTTTCCAAACTAATTGCATGCAAGATGAATCAAGTCAAATCAAATTTCTTCAGCAAGAGAGCCAGCAAAAACTCCAAATGAAACAAAAGGCGAAGAAGGAGGAAATTACTGGATTTTATGCCCTCCCACCCTCC